CTTCCTTCTTCCTTCCTTCCTTCCTTCCTCCTTCCTTCCTTCCTCCTTCCTTCCTTCCCTTTATTGTCTTTTTATTTTATGTGTATGTATCTGCATGTATACATGTGCCCCAAGCGTGTAGTTCCCATAGAAGCTAGAAGAACGCATCAGATCCCTTGAACTGGGGTCATAGATGGTAGCTAGCTGCCATGTGGGTCCTGGGAACTGAACCCAGGTCCTCTGCAAGAACAGCCACTGCTCTTAACCACTGAGCCATCTCTCCAGCCCCTCCTTTCTCTCTTCATAGAGTTGTTAAGTGGGTATTTTGCATCAGTGATCATATACCATGTAAGTGTGCGTGGCTGCTCTCGATCAGCATGAAGTTCAGAGGCTCAGCCAAGTTGTGCCAGATCAGTATTTCCTTTCTTTTTAAGACTGAGTCCGTATTCCACATGTGGCTTGTCCACATTTCCTGATGTAGTCCTTGGTTTACAGTCTCTTTTAAGGATATAAAAGAAACTCTGACTAGTGGTCACCCTTGGGAGGGATCCAGGGAACTGGGGCTCGGGGAGGTGGGAGACAAGTTTTTATCATCATCTTTTGAACTGTTTGCATCTTTAAAGTTGGTATATACCACATGTTAAAAAGGTAGTGTAATAAACTGGCAAAGTTTCATGTAGTTGACCCACAATGTGGCTGTGAGGAATATGGAGCCCCTCAGGGCTCCCTAACTAAGACGTGCTGCCAGGACCTATGGTGCACGCGCTCTCTGGGCGCACTCCCGGAATGGCACTCCCCCGCCATGCGTCTGGAGGAAAGCTGGTCTGGTCCCGCGGGCTTCTCCGTGTCTCTATGGGCCTCAGGCGTGGTGTGCGCAGGTATCTCGGGGTCGCTCTGGGCCCCTGGATCTCGGGGTCCCCGCCACACCTGGCGAGTCGCGGCACGGCTCTGGCCACAGGCGTCTCTGGGAGCGGCAGCAGATAGGCCGCTGTCCGCCGCTCCCGTGCTGACAGCTTCTCTGCGACTGGAGCGTTGTCCAGCCTGATCCTGTCCCTATTTCACCCGTGTATTTCCTAAGGATGCGAGGTCCACTGGCCACTGAACCCCACGGGAAGAGTACGAGGACAGCGAAAGCTAGGATGTCTACAAGTCGGTCACGGGGGAGTGTGCCCCCCGGAGAGGCTAGGTCGCTGGTAGTAAGGCACAGAACTCAAGACTCGGCTTAGTCTGTGTTGTCCAGCCTGATCCTGTCCCTATTTCACCCGTGTATTTCCTAAGGATGCGAGGTCCACTGGCCACTGAACCCCACGGGAAGAGTAC